AAAAAAAAAAATCCAAGTGTAAGTGGATCCTCGAAGTTTAAAACCCATATTGTCCAAGGGTCAACTGTATCGGGAACTGGAGAGGCGTACCGTATTTTTTGTTTGATATCTGCTGCAATGGGAGAGAAACCTACTTTGGATGCAATACCTGTAAAGAGTGATGATTTCAGAAGAGGCCTCAGGATGGTGTATTTGTGGGCAGTGGGCAGGGCTTGTTGATGAGCCAACGCTTCATTTACGTTGACAAACAGGTGACAAACAGGCCATCCGAGCTACGTGGCCAAGTCACACTGAGAGACCTTCTCCAGAGTGTGAAGTTTGGCAGCTTAGGCCCCCACCCTGACATCACTTGCAGCCCGGGCATTCTGCGACTTCAGGTGCATAAGGAACATTTCCGGCACCAGGTGCGCCCTGGGACTTTCCCGAGACCTGGCCCCCCGCCACCGCCGAGTGGGCGTGGGTGCCGCGGCGGCGGCGGGGAACAGACGGAGGCCCGGGGCTGCCCCACCCCGGCTCCCGAACCTCGGCGCCCTCTGTCGGCCACGCTGTGTGGGATGGGGAGAGTCAGGGCGGGGCTCGCCCTGGAGTCTCCGCCCCTTCTTCCCAGAGTGGGGCGGGGTGGTGGTTACCCGCAAAGGCTGCAGAGGTTTCGCAAGGACGTGACATTTATGGGAAAAAAAACACCATCACGCACTGTTGCCAGTCAGGGCTAGTGAGCTGAACTAGTTTTCTGAAGCCCGCGGAGGGAGGGGCCGGGGCGGAAACGTCCAGCCCAGTGACTCGCGGCCTACTGCCCCTCCAAAACCACGGCAGTGTGCCCTGAGCCCCGGGGCACCCGATGGGGCACGAGCCCGCACCCCAACTGCGTCCGGGCCTGCCGCTGGGGCGACGTCACTGTCACTACACTGGGAGTCAGCAGAATGAGGGCACTCTCGCCTTCCTTTCTCCTCCCTACAATTCCAGAAATGAGGCCCCAGAGCCCAGGCTGATCTAACCAGCCCCCACCCCAGCTGGGGTTTGGATTGGAAGGCTGTGAAACGACCGAATTAGGATGACTTGGGAATAAAAAACAAGGGAGTCAGGTGCTTTAACCACGGAATGGGCTCAACCTAGGTCGTTTAGAGGTGCCGGGCAAGAGGGGAGTAACTACCCCTCCCCCATCCTGTTCTGAGGCAGGCAGCAGGGGTGGCCACAGGGGCTGTGTGTGTCCTTGTTAGGGCCTCAGAAAAACCCAGGGACTGGGAGGCAGGAGGACTGGGTACACACTGGGTCCCAGCTCCACCTTCATCTGTCACTCCGGGGAGCAGGTCACTTAACCTCTCTGGGCCTCAGTTTCCTCACTTGAAGAATGAGGAGTCTGGACAAGATTATGGAATACTGTGTTTTGAGTACTATCTGCGGCCTAGGAACTGGGAGTCCCTGTCCCGACACCATCCAGTATGTCAGAGAAAAAGGAAGGGTCAGAGGCCAAGGCTGTCACTCACCTGGCTCTCTTTCTGTAGCTACAAATTCTCACATGGGCTTCAGTTCTCTTCAGCAAACAATTTTGAACTTCTGCCTGTGTGCCAAACACAGGCTCAGGCCCAATGTTTGCAGAGCCTGGGGCAAGAGTATGCACAGAGGACCATATAGTGTTTGTCTGAATATTTAAAACCTACACATTAAGCTAACAAACTGTTAAATAAAACATGTTCTATCCTCCTATCTGAGCAGATACACCTTTGTAACATTCTGAAAGGTCAAGTTCAAGTCTGCAGTTCTTGTATTCCTTAGCATTCTGGGCTAGAGTGTAATGGCACAGAGAGTGGTCCCAGCTCAAGGCTGTGACGTGGTTTCCCTCTGTTCCCAGGCTGGATCCATCCTATGCTATGAGGGATCTTTCCCACACACGTCCTCATGTCCAAGCTCTGTCCACATCTCTGCAAGTGTCTGCCCCTTAAAGGGTCTCTTCCTGAGTGTGCACATTGGTGAGGCAGTCCACCTTTAGGAGACTGGACCTAGAGAAGTGTGTTCAGAACCTGTTGCGCAGGCAGGGAATTCCCAGGCCCCAGATATCCAGAACATGGTTCTGGGTGGGCAAGTCCCTTGGGCCCGGTGACTCCTTGCCCTATGTCTCCCTGCATCTTGTCCTGTCTGAAGGCGACACCAGCCATTGTGGGAGTGCAGACTTGGATCAAGCACAGCCCCTCCAAGGAGCCTATCCATCCAAACACAATGAACTCTGGCTGGGCATGGTGGCTCACTCCTGCAATCCCAGCACTTTGGGAGCCCGAGGCAGGTGGATCACTTGAGGTCAGGAGTTTGGGACCAGCCTGGATAATGTGGTGAAACCCAGTATCTACTAAACATGCAAAAATTCACCGGGTGTGGTGGTGCATGCCTGTAGTTCCAGCTACTCGGGAGGCTGAGGAAGGAGAATTGCTTGTACCTGGGAGGCAGAGGTTGCAGTGAGCTGAGATCATGCCACTGCACTCCAGCCTGGGTGACAGAGTGAGGCTCTGTCTCAAAAACAAAAACCAAAAAAAAGTGGCTATTCCTCAAGGATCTAGAACTAGAAATACCATTAGACCCAGCAATCCCATTACTAGGTATATACCCAAAGGGTTATAAATCATTCTACTATAAAGACTCATGCATATTATTGTGGCACTGTTCACAATAGCAAAGACTTGGAACCAACCCAAATGCCCATCAATGATAGACTAGATAAAGAAAATGTGGCACATATACACCATGGAATACCATGGAATACCATGCAGCCATAAAAAGGATGAGTTCATGTCCTTTGCAGGGAAATGGATAAAGCTGGAAACCATCATTCTCAGCAAACTAACACAAGAACAGAAAACCAAACACCACGTTCTCACTCATAAGTGGGAGTTGAACAATGAGAACACATGGACACAGGGAGGGGAGCATCACACACCGGGGCCTGTTGGGGGGTGGGAGGATAGGGGAAGGACAGCATTAGGAGAAATACCTATTGTAGATGACGGGTTGATGGGTGCAGCAAACCATCATGGCACATGTATACCTATGTAACAAACCTGCGCATTCTGCACATGTACCCCAGAACTTAGTATAGTTAAAAACGTAAAAAGAAAAACAAAACAAAAACCTCCCCAGCAGCCCATGAGTGGCTGGAGTAGGCTCTGAAAGGAAGGGCCTTTCTCCCACCTTGATCTTTAAGTTTCTCCCAGGGGATGTCAGTCAATCCCATTTCCCGTAACAACCCCGGCCCACCTGCTTTTCTCCCTGGAGCAAGGTTTTGATTAAGGGCTGTTCATCCTCCCAAGTCAGTGACACCAGCAGGCCTGGTGGATGGGCTCCTTCCTTTTTATGCCAAGAGTCTCTGAAGCCTCCTTATTTTCCACTTGGGAGAAGTGTTTCAATTCACAGATTGGGGAGAAGGTCTTCCTTAGTGGGATCCTAGTGCCAGAGCACCAGGCCCACTGGCCTGGAGAAGGTGGAAGGCAAGATCGACCCAAAAACCTGCAAACAAAGGTTGTGGGTACAGACAGGCTGGCTGTGACAGTTGCGATTCGGCCTCTGGAGTGCTTTGGGGGAGTGGGGGCTTCATTGGTCGAAGGCTTGGAGTGATGGCTACAGGGACCACCTCTAATGCCGGTGGTCACAATGAGAAGGCTACCCATTACTGTCATCTAATAAGCGAGGTGAGTCCAACCCTGGGGACAGAGATGTCATTTGAGAGGCTTCCCCCACCCACATCCCTACCATATCCTAGTATTCTCCTCTTTCCAGCAGGTTAGACAAGTTTAGCCACATTTTGGATTTCAAGGTTCAAATGGAAGAAAACAAAAATTCCCCAGGGCATGGTGGCCTGAGATGCTTAGATTCGCATCCAGAACCCTTGTTGTGGGAAGGGAACTCCTGGCTTCCTCCCCTCAGCACTGGCTCACCAAGCCCTGCATGGCCAGAACCTGGCAGGTTGCCATGGATACCTGGGATTGCTGTCCTAGCAGACAGCAAAGGCTTGCTGGGGCCAGGAGAATGTGGGGGCACCTGAACTGCTGGCGAGAAGGGCTAGAGAAGCAGGCCCCCCCTGCTGCCCTCATTTTGATCAGACCCACTCCATCAGTCTCCTAAAACAGGGCCTTCCAAACTTTACCGGGCACAGAAATCCCCCTCTCCTCCCAACCTGGTTAAAATGCAGATGCTGGCCAGGCACGGTGGCTCACACCTGTAATCCCAGCACTTTGGGAGGCCGAGGCAGGTGGATCACTTGAGGTCAGGAGTTCAAGACCAGCCTGGCCAACATGGTGAAACCCTGTCTCTACTAAAAATACAAAAAATTAGCTGGGCGTGGTGGCACGCGTCTGTAATCCTAGCTACTCAGGAAGCTGAGGCAGGAGAATCTCTTGAACCCGGAAGGCGGAGGTTGCAGTGAGCTGAGATCTCATTACTTCACTCCACCCTGGGCAACAGAGTGAGACTCCTTTTCAAAAAAAGAAAAAAAGAAAATGCAGATGGTGATTCGACAGGTCTGGGGCAGGGGCAGAAGGCGCTGAGATACTATTTTCCTAACCAGCTCTCAGGTGCTGCTGCTGGTCCACCGGCCACACTCTGAGTAGCTAGGGCCTAAACTGAGTCCTGGTGGGTTTTAGAAACCTCAGCCAGATTCTGAAGGTGACCCCTGGACCCACTGCCTTAGGCCACCGCTTCCAGTCTTAACCTCAGTGGGAACCTCTAGCCGTCCTGTAGTGGAAGGACCCTCTCTCTAGTCTGTTTTTGGATCATTCACCATCAACCACTTCAAAGAAAGGATATCAGCAGCCTGCAATTTGGGGAAATATTTTAAGCTGTCCTGTCCCTTCTCCAGCTCTCCAAGTTATGTAATGCGTCCTTGTTGAAAATGCTGATAATGCTATTTGGGTGGCAGAAAGCCAATTTCAGGCTACATATTGCTTCGGGTTGGGGCTGGGGCTGGGGTCAGGGAAGGGGATGGGGCCTCGGGAGGGTTTAAGGAGAGAAAGGGGCCAGACAGATGGAGAGAGGGCCAGGGTGGTCAAGGCCTGGGGCTAAAGCCGATTGGTATGTCAGCAAAATCTGTCACTGGCTTTAGTGATTCAAAAGGCAGACACATTCTTTCATCTCTGTTAATCCTCATCTGATACAGAGGATTTTCCTGCCATTAAATCTGGAGAAAGAAAAATAAGCACTCAAACCTGCACAAGCCACTATTCCTCTTCACCCCTCGCTCCCGTCCCCGCGACCCCACCTCCACTTCTCTCTCAGACCATTTTTAGCCTCTGTGGCTGCCTGACTTGGGAGATGGATGGGCTGGGGGAGCGGAGGGGTGCCTTAGAGGAGCAGGACCAGGCAGACTCCCAGGACGGTAAGTAACCTTTGAGGACCATTCACTAACCCTTCTCTGCAGAGGTTTCCTCTCCGTCCATTTCCTTGCTGGGTTGTGAGTGATGCCATCTGAGTTGCTGTCAGGGCTGTAGCCTGATGAAGGGTTTCCTGATAGATCCATCCATTTGCGGGTAGTTTCTGATTGTCTGTTGTTACTGGTTTCTCTTAGCTCAACACCTGGGTGGTTGAGGAGGAAGGAATGTGAGGAAGAAAGAAAGGCAAGGCATGCAGGAGGAAGTGCGGAGGCATGGGAGGGTTCTCACGGGGCCCTCCTGGGCACTGGGTGACCTGTCCTTTCTCCCCTCAGGTAGGGATCCCATGGCTGGGTGGTCCTAAGCCGCCGGGTGTATGAAGGGCCAAGGGATGCTGGTCCTGCTTCTGCATGGTGAGTTCTCCTGCCGGTGGGGGCAGGGGTGGGAAGAGGTGTGGAAGCCACAGAACTTCTACCCATAGAGTCTTTAAGTGGGTTCTGGGACAGCTGTATCTGGACTTCTGCTCAGGTTTCACTGATGGCAGGTGGTGGGGATTTTTGTTTGCCTAAAGCAAAACTCCTGAGCCGAATATATGAAATAGTCCTCTTGGTGAATTTCTTATTCTAATTTCAGATATGAATTCATTGGTGTGATAACCAAAAGCTACAGTGTTTTTTTTTTTCTCTTCTTTTTTTCTTGAGACAGAGTCTCGCTGTCACCCAGGCTGGAGTGCAGTGGCATGATCTCAGCTCACTGCAACTTCCACCTCCTGGGTTCCAGCAATTCTTGTGCCTCAAGCCTCCTGAGTAGCCTGGAACTACAGGCACCAGC